TTTAACTTGAATGTGACAAATTTGTAAAATTAAAATTCAAATGTTAAGATATGAAAATACAAAAGAGTTGAGTTGTGTGTATGTAAAACTTCCAAAACAAATTCTAGAGACGAAAACATAATATCATGTGGGAAAAAGTTCAAGCTGCTACAAAATCCATTTGATTTAAAACAACCAATTCTTCTGCATTTACATATCGCACACCAATGCTTTACTGTTTACATTTATATCATTTAAACATTTTTGATCACAACAAAGAAGCACAGTTACATATACAAAAGTAAACTACACTTTCACTCATTAATATGAAGATCATGAGATCTTAAAAAAAGAAAAAATAACAGGTTAAAATTACAAGAAAAAAAATGATAATATTGACTCTAAAATGTAAAAGCATATTAGAACGAATGTTGCCCGGTTCTGACACCCAAAACCCCGAGCAAACTTGTTCGGCTGGGAAGCACTCTAACCACAAGCGACATTCTCAAGTTGTGATACCGTCGAACTCTGAGCAGCGATTTCCAGTTGGGATATCGTAGAAATGAACTTATGGTCGACCCACTTGAAGAATTTGCAGTCCTCCGGTCCGTGTGCCAATTTACCATTTGTTCAATTACCAATAGTAAAGACTCCATATTGCCATTTGTTGAATTACCATAATGAAGACTCCATATTGCCTTCTGCTCCAGAAGGAAAAAACCAAATGAGACTATGCTTAAAAAAGAATTTGGCATGATATATATTGAGATGAAACACTAACTATCAATATTTTTTTCCATTAGCTTACACATTGCAATGGGGTGTCCAACCATCCGTTACATGCTCAAAAATTAATATCAGCATCCGAAATTCATACATGCACTGATCCATCTTCAATTCTTTCCAGAGGAAACAAATAAATGAAGGTTCTTAAAGGTTTATTCTTGAAACGAGAAGGACCTCATAACCCTCAAATTTCCACAGGAATCCATATTTTGAAACTCAGATGGAACATAGCTGATATCACCAAATTGTGATCAATTACAATATCAAGTAACAGCACATGATCCAATTTTGAGGTTCTTAGGCAAAACCTAGGAGACATAATTTCAAAACAAACTACTTCCATTTTAAGAGACATACAGTAAAAACATGGCATAGTTTAGATCAAAGTACACAACATTAAAACCATGACATCACTGATGTCGACAGCTAATGCTTGATAGAAAGATTCAGATGTAAAATACAGGAGGTGGAGTAAACCAGGAATCTCATATCACATCTGTTATACGCTCCCTTAGAGCAATCATCTCCTCTGCACCTTCGTCATCTTGGGTGTTAAATTCTTGTGACTCCATAACTTTTTCCTGGATAGACTGCCCAACCTGGAATTCGAATGCTTCAGGGGGTATATGCATCATCAACGTCAGCCATGTCGAAGTCCGTATCAGACCGAGAGGGATGTCGTCTAATGAAATCTATCATATGGGATACGCTTGACAGGATCCCAACCCAATCCTGTCGATCTCCGTTTAAGTTCCTTTCATAATTTCCAATCTTTCTTTAGCTGATCCCACTTGTTCTTGAATTTTAATCTATCGTAATCTCGTCCTGTCAATTCTTTGAACTTATTGGAAATATTCTGTCACCCTTCTTTGTTAAAGTAGGTGATGGGTCTATTTCAAAGTTTAATCTCCTTAATACAATTGCAAAAAAATGATGGTCACTTCCTTATCCCACATTGCTGATGTAGCGCCTTCTTTGTTCTTAGCCATAATGAGACTAATAAAAAATATGTATCAAAGAATGCACTGAATTCACTTATATTGATAGTAAAATAAAGCAACAATAGAAAAAATATCATAGCCTTAGATAAAAAAGAAGTCATGTAATGTAATTCTTCCAAATTGAAGTACAAATGTTTGAAAATATAATTAATTTAGAAGAATGTTATATAAAAGAAAACAAAAGTTTTACCTTTCTCATAGGTTCCATTTGTTCACCATGAAAAAAAGAGAAGTTTGAGCATGCAGAGCATCCTCTGGCTATTCTAACTCTGTTCTTTTACACAATAAAAGGAGTTGGAAACTCTAATTTCTCCATTTTGATAATTTTTCTTCTTTAGTTCATATCAATTCCTCTAGTATATAATTTAAATTCATCTATACAACATACAATTATATCGTTCAAATTCATCTATACAACTACATCCACTCCCACCCCCCCCCCCCCCACCCCCTCTGAGATTGCACCAACTTTAAGCTAAAGCAAGTTATATTTCACGAGGCAAGTGAATATTTTAAAGCATCATAAAGTAGTTTCAATAGACTTAAACATGGGCGCAGGTACAATATTTAAAAATTTACTTAATTGTAGTAAGCATTCTCATCGTGCATGAGTTTAATAACACAAAAAAAAGATCCATTTCATCACATTATATAATTTCTAGGGTAACTTTACAGAGAGCAGAATTTCGATCCCTTCAAAGAAGAAGAATCAGCCGAGGAGTTATAAAGAAAATAACGATTTTCAACTGATAAGTCCTCAGGTTCTCAACAAAATTTTTGTCTATCTGTGTTTGATTTGACAACAACTCAATACAAACTCAGAAATAATCCACACGAAAGAACTAGAAATCTCTTTGCCTTCAATGATAAATTTGGCCACCAAACTAATCTATTTCTCCTAAAAGATAAAAAATCAGGCTGTGAATAAACACATACCAAAGAGTAAATATATTTATGTAAATAAAATTTTGACTCCATAGCAAACAAATAAAACCAAACAAAACTCATATTGCATTTGAAGCCATTCAGCTGCACGAAGCCATTCAGTTGCACCTCAAAGGATCCTTTAAAAAAAAAAAAAAAGCTTCTAATCACAATTAAGCTCAATATAAGGTAGCTATTACTAAGCCAAACACAATCAAACAAAATTAGGGTTTAGCTCATCCATTTCTCATCCATCCTGCTACCAAGCTAAAGCCCCTCAAATTGTAAATCTTTCTCATCCATTTCTCATCCATCCTGCCACTTCAATGAGCAAAAAAAGTGTCTAATGGCGTAATAAAAAAAATCAGAATAGTCATCCAGATCCCCCAGCACACAAAAATGTGAGAAGACGGAGCCAAAAGAAGCATTCTCAAAAACATACTTATTCAGGGACTCGATTAAGGTTGTAGCAGAGAGATAAGAAGGAATGGGAGAAACTCGCAGTGCGAGAGACGACAGACCGATTCGTTGCTTTCGAAATTAGGGCAAAGGAGCGAGGAGGGGTATCGAGTGTCTTTCGCCTCTATGAACTGCGGATCACAGGGTACTACCCGCAATCCACATCTAATAGTAAAATCGAAACGGTGATTTACAAAACACATCAAAAACGGAATGTCCAAACGCAGGAAACACCACCGCTACAAAAAAGCTATCCCAAACGTACCCTTAATGAAATTTATAGCTTATACACTTAAGCTCATCTTCATGGGGAAAATTTTCAACTTGTAGAAAAGTTTTATGATGTTTTTTGTCTACATATTTTTGTAGCCCAGTCTAAAAAGATAAGTCTTATCCCAGTTGTACTTCTTTAGTTCTATACAAGACAGAACAAGCCAATGAGGATCTCCAGTAAGTCTTGGATACAAAACCATTATTAGGTAACACCAAATTACTCATGAATACTCATTTATATCTTATCTCTTTTTATATCTATTTTCATAATTTTCTCGTCATCATAAAATATTTTGTAACTACCTTTAACGCCAACCTAATTTCATTCCATAATTCTTTTTGAGCTACTTGAAAATAGAAATTAGGAGGTCATGAGAGCAACAACGAATGCCTCAGAAAAGAATTATACATGGGAGATAGTTGAATTATTAAAAAGAATGAAAATAGTAGGATATAAATGAACCTTCACGCTCAAATATAAAACAGAAGGGAGCCTAAAAAGGTACAAATCGAGATTGTTAGCGAACATATATATCAGTCATATAGGATTAACTATTAAGAAATATTTGCACTTTGTTGCAAAAATGAATATTATAAGCGTTATGATTTCTTCAATTGCAAATTTTGAGTGGTCTATGGAACAATTTAGTGTAAAAAATGCTTTCATATATGGGGGTGTCGAAGATAGGGTTTATATGAATCCTCCATGAGGATTTGATGGTACTTTTAAAAAGAATCAATTATACAGATTAAATAAGCTCTATATGAATTGAATCAATTACCAAAAGCTTGATTTTGCAGATTTACCAACGCTTTGATGGAAGCCAGACAACCAAAGCTAAGGAGATTATATTGTCTTCATAAAGCACTTTTCTGATTGTGAAATTTCAATCATTATTGTATATGTTGACGATATGATAATTAAAAGCAATGATATTAAGGAAAAAGAAAAGGAAAAAAAATCAATGAAGATTTCAAAATGAAAGAGCCAGATAAACTCAATTACTTCTTGGGTATATAAGTGGCTTAATCTGAACAAGAATTTCTCTCATAACAAAAGAATGCTATGTAATCGTTGAAAGAAATTGAAGTGATAAAGTGCAAGTCATGTGAAAATCTAACTAAACAAAGTAAAAATTAAATTTTGATGAAGTAGGAATTGATGTAGATTTAGGGTAATATTAAAGGTTGGTAGGAAAATTAATTTGCTTATCCCGCCCTCCCCCTTTTTCCCAACGTGCAAATACACACTTTTTAATTTCTTATTTTTTAGTGCCTATTGGAGATGTATGTATACTTCATTTCTGTACAAAAATAGTGCAATAAAAAATTTTAGGAGTTCTTATCCATTGTTTTATTTTCTACAAATTCTATGGCTTGAGATGACATTGTTAGATAGCTTCAACTCACAAGATAACCTGAGGCATCTAATGTGGATCATGCTAGCTTTTGCTATTTTTCATTTTTTTGGGTCCATTCATATAACTTGTTTTGCGTTGTAGTGCATTCATATGCTTATTTATTATTCACCATTTTAAGTAATGTTGCATTGTTTGTATTTTTTTTTTCTGAATGAAGCTTGATGATATGGAAAATTTACTGGATGAGCTACAAGCTACAAGGAAATATGAGGAGCTTTGCATTAGCTTGGTACAAAATGTTTTCTGTGACATGTCTGCAATTTTTCAATTGTGTTCATTATACATAAAGGCTATTAGTGTGATGCCATATATTGTAATTAGCTACCCATTTGTTCTGCAGAGAAATAAAACTAGCTCTAGTAATCCGCACCAGAAGAGGTTATATTTTGAACTTTTACATTTGCTTTTCTCTCGTTTCAACAGGTTGAAATCTCAAACTGTTTTACTTTAGAAGGATTCATTTTTATGTTATGTCTGTTTCCAGGGTCATTGATGCAAGATTCTTGCTAGAAATGCTTGGAATTGCTAAAGCAAGAAAACAGTTGAACTACACGAAGTTAAAAGAATTACGTGTAGGGCATTAATTGCTTGTTCTACCAATGCATGTCCTAAAACAATGCTATCTTCTTAGCTTGATTTTTCCTTTTTTTAATTCAGAGTAAAGCACAAATTCTGCATTCACAAGTTGAGGAATGCGGCAAGCTTAAGTCAGTTTATGCTCAATTGTGTAACCTTTACACGAGGGTTGTTGAATCTGATGAGTCATCTCACTGCAGACATTGGGTGCATGACATGAAGCTGGTGATGCTCCAATCTTTTCCCTTATCCTGCATTGCTTTCTTTACTATTCTAATAAAATTAATAGTTTTTTTTTCTTTTTTTTTTCATTTTGTTCATCTTATTTCATATTTGCAGTATTGACTTAATGTCTTTAAAGACATTCCGCATTGGAATCTATCAGCTAGTGGCTATTTTGTTAATTCCCACATAATTTGCTCCTCCATGGTGTGTTTTTTTTTTGTAGTTAGCTTGAAGAATGTAGCCCGTAGCAATGTTCAGATTTTTGTTTGAACTTTGAAGCTAGTTATTTTGCAAGAAGGCCCATTTTCTTCAAGTGGAATGCCAGTTCTTCTGTTACTTATAGCATGCACAATTCTGCATGATAGACAAATTGTGATATTTTGTTTGATTATCGACTGATTTGCAACATTTGAAGGGGAATTTGCATCATTTGTCATACCTTTTTATTTTTTTTTAGATTAATATTTCATTGGTCATTGATTTTACTTTGTTCAACACTCGATAGAAGTAATACCGGTACTTAGCACTACCAAAAATTTTTCGGATTGCTTTTTCTGTTGTGCTATTTCAAATATTTGGATTGAAAGGAACAATTGGACTGTTAATCATGAAAAGGACATTTGGTGCAACGTCATTTGTTTGGCACATTTTATTATTCACTCTACTGAAGGAAAAAAGAGCTCTCATAATTAATAACAGTTTTGAGGCTTTTGGACTTCCAGGTAGTGCTAGTCTTTTTTTTTTTAATTTTATTTCAACTACTCGATATTCTATTTGGATTGTTTCCTGAGTTTTTTGTTCTTTTGTTTACTTCTTTGTATTTTGAATCTAGTTCAATCCATTCTTTTTTAATGAGAAGTTTCTGCCCATCTTTTCATTAAGAAAAGGCAACCTTATTCACCATTAGTTGCTGTGAAGAACTGCATCAACTTTTACTTTTAACTCTATTTTGTGTGGAATCTCTAGCCTTTTGTTTTGATTGTCAATGAATTAAGTTTGTTTAATTCTTGGAGAAATAAATCGACCCAGGGCTGCCAAAGATTTTTTGGGTAATTTTTTTCTGTTATGCTATTTGACATATTGGATTCGATAGGAACCACTTGTCTTTTAATGAGGAATGGAAGGATGACAAGACCGTTGGGTTATAACGTCAATTGTTTGGCACATTGCTAGATTCACTCTACTAAATGAAATAAAAATAAAAAAAAAACTGTGATAGTTAATAACAATTTGGGCTTCCAGAGGTTGCTAGTTTGATTTTTGTTTGACCACTGGATCTTATAGTTTAACTGCAATCTAATTTTATTGTTTCCTTTTTCTGTATTTTGAAGCTAATCCCTCCAAATTTTCTTTCAATGAGTGGGTCTTACCCATTTATATTTTTTAAGAAAGGAACACTATTCAACATTAGTTCTTGTTAGAAGCTACATCTACTTTTAAATCTAGTTTGCGTAAAATCTTCAGGTCGCTTGTTTTGTCTTGCAATATTGTTCGAGCTTTTGAAAGAGAGTAGAATATATGACAACTGGTGTGATATCCCTCAGGTATAATGAAATTGAACTATTAAACATTTTGGCGTCTTTTGGCGAACAATTAAAGTTTTACTAAGAAATTCCCAAGTTAAGCGTGTTCATTTAGGAGCACTCTCATGATGGGTGACCTTTTGAGAAGTTACTCCAATGGGACAAAACAGGGAGGCCATTAGGCCAATTTGGAAAATATCTCAATGAGTGAGACCTGGGATTTTACAAATGGTATCAGAGCATTACACAAGCTTAAAGATAAGAATATTAGTGGTTGATTCTGGATAAAGAACACTGACAAGGATGGTTGTTATTTAAATGGGGGAATTTGTGAAATCTCTCAAGTAGAATGTAGCTGAAATCCTAAACATCTATGTGCCTTCTTGTATAACGGTTGAAATTTCATAAGAAATTCCAAAGTTAAGTGTGCTCATGGTGGATCACTCTTAGGATGGTGACCTTCTTGGAAGTTACACCCCAATGGGACAAAAGTAAGGTTTTTAGGCCAAAGCAGGCTATATCTTGATAGGCGTGAGTTCGGGCTGTAACAATTGGGTGACATAAAAATGAAATTGATAAATAAATAGAAAAGATAATGAATTGAATCATATTTACATTATTTCACTGGTTCAGTCAAGCTCCACAGTAATTTATTTTTTTCTTATTTTTGGAAGCAGCAAATATTTCAGATCCAATCTCCTTAGCGTAATTTTGTTTGTCCCACTAGAAGTTAATTTTGTAGTACCATATTTTCATCCTTCATTGTATAGATAGTAGTAAAATTCTGTCTCTCTTTCATGATGTTTTATTGGTTCCCATTGCCATCCCTATTATTATGCACTGTAATTTCCTAAACATCATGTTCTTCGATTTATCAAGGGAATTTTCCTATATGTTATGTTTTTTTACTAGCTTTTGGCTTTGATAGTTGAGTTGTGTTTGTACTGTTTGACCTTTCAATTTCTAATTAAACTTGAATGGAGTCATAATTTTGGCAGGAAGAACAGAACAGACTGATGGCAATGAAACAAGAACTTGGAATTCTTGAACAAAATATCAAGCTTTTATTGAATTCGCTTGAAGCTTCTTGTAAGTTAACAGGGAAAATGAGCTGCGATGACGTTATTAAAACAGTTGATGAACATGTAATGAGGAGAGCATTCTGCAAGGAAATTCAACAGCATGTCCACGTATACTACTGTCTGTTATCTCAACTTTACCTTTAAACCTTCCATTTTTTCCCTTAAATTAATGTTCATTTTGTGCTAGCTGGGGAAGTTGTGCGATGTTATTATGGAGAACGACCATTATGAGATCATCTTTGGTTATTGTAATCAAGTCTTTCAAAGGTAGCAAACCAGTCTTCAATATTTAAGATATATATATATATATATATATATAAGAATATATATATATATTGGGTTTTCATAATATATCTCCAATGATTCTGAATTTTTTATTTAACAGGTTTACAATCAGCAAAAGTCGTTTTTCAGGAGTTGTTGCAGATATTTCGTCCAATGCTGCAAATATCTTAAAGGTTGAGCTCTTTCGTGTTGTGACATTGTGGGAAAAGTCTATAAATTAGTCTTATATCTATGGTTGAATACAACTCCATAAAGGATCTTTTGTCTATCTTTTTCTTGTTCAGAAATACCCCAACATGAATGCATGCACAGCCTATGAGTTTGTCTTCAAAATCAATATTGATCAGAAGCTTGCCAATTCAACTTGTGTTTACGAGAGGACAGTAGTAAGTATTTAGTTCTGTGATTAACATTATTTGCCTGTTTTTTAGTATTTCATGGCACATGACAGATCATTGTTAACTCCCCTTCGAGGTAGCGGACGAATTTCTTTTACTTTTTTTGCACTCTTTTTAATGCTTTATATGGATTATGCATTTGCTGGTTTGCCTTTTTCCTAGGTTATGAGAACCAGACCGGACAATGAATCGGTAAAAAGAGGTTCAAGATGCAAAGGTTGAATCGGGGTTGAGGCATTCAACTGAATGACATAATAAATTTTAAGTTTATTTAAATATCACATAATTGATATAATTAAAAAAAATTGATTATCAAATTTAAAATAAATACCTCAAAATTTAAATAACTAACACCACAATAGTTTTGGTATATTATGTTACGACCCGACTCGGGAATTAGAATTAACCAAGACGGGAATAGACGATGAATATTAATTCTCTTTTATTCTATTGCTATTACTAACATTTTAATATTCAAATATTCATGAAAGTGCCACTAAATGAAGTAATATAGTTTAAAACTGGAAATTTGTACCTTTTTAGTTGTTGCTTTCGTATTTTTACACATTAGCTAATCTTCTACTCATTGCAATCAAAAGTTAGAAACCCCAAAAACATTATTAAAGGTACATAATGAGTTGTATAAAGATAACATAGGTGTAATCATGCTTCTAAGCTACAATAATCCATTAAAAAAGAAATCAATATTTATGATGGTCTTTTATATCTCCATAAGAAATCTTTTACTATGCTGGTATTCCATATTTTCATAGGAAATCTTATAATATGTTAATCCATGTATCAATGACCTTTAGTCAATGAAAATATTCTAAATTTCTATATACTTAAACTTTATTTTTACTTAATATTATTTACTTACACATCTCTTTGAGGATTCCCTTTAACAAAACCTAACACAATACTGAACAATATTATCTCGTCGGCACAACAATTAATTATTTAAATCACACAAGTGTTTGGGGTGGAAAGAGTCTTATCTGCCCCTGATTGATATTTCCTTTCGACATAGTGGTTAGCGATTTAAACACCACAATTGTATGCGGTGGTAAGCTCTGTCCACTCACCCCTAGCCGATATTATTCTATCGGTACAACGGTTAGTGGTCTAACTATCATCATTGTCTGGGATGACAGAAAAACATCTACGCACGTGAGTACACTGACTTCTCCTACCTGTACCATTAGGGGGTGAACTCCTCATCTGAACATACACATACAAGAAATCATATGTAAGTTATTTCGTTCTTCATAACATACATTATTATGAGACATATTCATGTATATACTAATGTATACTTACTCTGAGATGCAACTATTTATCGTGTATTTCCTTTCTATCATGTATTTCTCTCATATCATTCATATCTCTTATTCATGCATATTTGTAATATCATGCAAATCTTTCATATCATTTGTATCTCTTATCTCATTCATATCGCTTATATCATGCATATCTTTTCTATCTAATAATATGAAGAATCTAACTAAACTAGAGCATACATGTAGTCAAACATGTATTTTGAAATAAAGATGATTGTTGTATTTAAAAATATAATTAATCACATCGGTTGTCATTCTAGATTCTTAATTTTCAGTAATTAGTCAGGTGTTGCAATATGAATAACTCCACCAGTGCATGACTTTATCGTATTTTCATTAGACTCTCCTGAATGAACTGTTGATGCTAATATCTCCAATTATGCTCAGTATGAAGATTTTCTAGATGCAAACACATAATAAAGAAATTCATTAATACGCAGCAGCAAGCAGTAATTCTAGTGTATTTTGATTCTTAATTTAGCAATTGAGTATTTTGATTTACACTTACGATGGGTCTAACAATAAATAATTTTTTTAATTGTATAAAACTATTGAACACTGTCATTGTCGGTCCCAAGCCCAGATGTGAAAAGTGGAGGATTGCGTTAGGTAGTTGAGAATCAGCATAAAACATGTTGAAAGAATCATGAAATGAATCATTTTGATCATTGTGCAAGTGCTAGGGCTTCCCCTTGTGACGCGTTGTATCACCTGAATATAGTAAAAAGTGTGCAAGGGCTGCTACACCTGCGCCTGGGTGTAGTCTCAAATAAGCAAGAGTTCTCACATTATGAACGGGTGCGGGTAAATAAGTTAGTCTGTGAAACTAATAGAAGGATAAGATCTTAGAATAGAGATACTCTTAATGGTAAGTTAATAGAATTAGTTGATATTATAATTCATAGAAAGATGAATATCTTATGTCTTCAAGAAACTAAATAGGTTGGAGAAAAAGCTAAGATTGCTAACTTAGGTTTTAAATTTTGGTATTCTGGTAAGAGTTGCACTAGAAATTAATAGATAAGAGTTTGAAAGATATTGTTGTTTGAAAGATATGATAAGAGTTTGAAAGATATTGTTGTAAAAATTAATAGAATTGAAGATAAAATTATAGCCCTTAAATATTGTTGATACTAAGATTTTTAATATTATAAGTGCTTATGCTCCTTTTTGATATTATAAATTTGATTGATTTTTAATATTATAAATTTGATTGATTAAATATTGTAAATTTGATTTATTTTTACGACTAAATATAAGTTCTAAAGATAAATTTTGGAATGATTTAGAAGTCTTAATATAAATTATAACTCTTGAAGAAAGAATTTTTATTGGAGGAGATTTAAATGGTTATGTCGGTAGAGTGATAGAAGATTTCAGACATATTCATGATTGCTATGGTTTTGGAGTGATTAATGAAGAATGTAGAGCCATATTAGATTTTGTGTGATAAATATATGTATAAAGGTCACTAAAAGCAGAATTTTTAGCGTTAGAAGATTTCAAAAATATTCAAGCTGGTTGTTTGAAGTGGAGTAGTACTTTGGGCGTATTGTGTGATAAAAAAGTGTCGTTTAGACTGGGACGAAAATTTTATAAGATGGTGGTGATACCTGCAATGCTCTATGGCGCAGAATGTTGGCCTTTAAAAGAGAAGCATACACTGAGCTAAGTGTTGCCGAGATGAGAATGATTAGGTGGATGAGTGGCTTTACACTTATAGACAAAATGCGAAATAAATATATCCGTGATAGGTTTGGTGTTGCTCCGGTGATGGACAAAGTTAGAGAGAGTTATCTTAGATGATTTGGTCACATTAAATGTCAACCATCTGATGATCCGATTAGGAGAGCAGATGTATTAGATTCGATTTATGTTAAGAAAGGCAGAGGTAGACCTAGCAAGACTTGGGCTTATTGTATAAAAAATGATCTTAATTTATTAGGATTAAATGAAAATATGACACTAAATAGGACACAATGGAGAAAAAAGATTCATGTAGCCGACCCTACTTAGTGAGATTAAGGCTTTGTTGTTGTTGTTGTAATTGGATAAAATTGTTAAATAATTTTTAATTGAGCACGAAAAATATATTAATTAAAAGTTTATCTCGAATTGGCTCGATTTCATATAAATTTTTACTTTATCTTACAACCTTCTTCACTATAATCGTTCTCCAAATCTTCAGCCAAAAAAGTGCTCACAATAGGTTCGGCTAATTGTGAGCATGATAATTAGGGATGAGTTAAAATGTACCGAACAAGCTATAGAATTAAAGTTTTTGTAAACACAAATCTTCATTTTTTTACATACCACTTCCAACAATTCCCCCTCTAGCTGCCTATCTGAGAATATTCACTCTCGAAATGTCGAACTACTATTCATGAAAATTTGGGAGGAAATAAAGGAATTACATGGGTGCAACTAACCTTCCAAATTCCTCTCTAAAACCTCGACTTCTCCCCTTTTCTGGCTGTCTACCGAGAGAAGTAAACTCTCCAAATCGATTGAAATTCACAAGAAATTGGAATGAAAATGAAAAATTTTAATTATTTGATAGTCATATATAAGTATATCAAAAAAGCTCGTTATTCACGAAGAACTTGTGTTCTGCTTGCTAAATAGTTTAAGTTCAATTTGTATGTCAAACAAATGAGTCAAACACAATATATATATATATATTAAAATGACAAAATTCATTGATAAAAAAGAGAGGATACAAAGATTTTAGTTAGTGGGTACAGAGATCCCACTCACAGGGATTACAAATGTATTCCCCAAAAATAAAACAAAAAGAAACAACTCCTAATCATGGTGGGTGTAGTCGGTGGATCTATCGCTTCCCCTTCACCTGGATTTAGGGAATGAGTACAGCAACATACTAAGATGTGGGCTTCCGCACAAAACAATAATACAGTCATTCTGAGAGTTACTGAGATATGACATTTCTTTCTTCTTCTTCCTAGATTTGTAAACCTGTCAATCATCTGACAGAGTTAGTCCTGTGTGAAAGCTGATGATTAGACTCAGCCTGCAGCACACCTTGATCCTGACACTCCTCCATAACTTTAGTACCCTTTTTTCTCGCAATAGGTGGATCCAAGGCACTTCGGCTAGCATTTGCTACAACAAAATTTGTAGACTTTGTAATCTGAGGAAGAGTTGCCTCAACAACAGTAAGCAGAAGCTGCTGGTGTGGTTTGTGAGTAGTCTTATGAGTCAAATTCTTATTCAATATTTCTGGAAGATTAACAGTGTCTGCTATATTTTTCTCGACATGGATGATGTTGTTAGGATCTATCGATCTCAAATGTGGGTGAAGCCTGAAACATTTGACAAGGGGTGTGCCCAAACAATCTACAGTAATTGCAGTATTAGGGTCTTTGTTCTGCTATAATTGGTTGTCAATACCTATTGTGGGTAGTACCAAACCATATTTCGTCCACATCAGGGAGGGTGATATCCCTTTTAACAAGAATTCTTGCAACCGAAGGTCTGGTTAGATTGAAGGTGGGTGCATCGAATTTTATAGGTCACCCTAGCGCAGCTCCAATAGAATAGTGGACTTGGTGGTGGTGGTTGAAGTAGTGCGGTGGTTGAAGTAGTGCAACTTTAAGCCAGATAGTTTAAACCAGATTGGAATTATAG